TTAATTGTCCGTCCCCGCCAACTCTGTGTCTGCTATCCTTGGTTCCCGCCGACCGTAATCGCTGTCTTTCTTTCTCTCTGCCTGCTTCGTCTCTGTCTCCACTACTGCTTCGACTCCAAATGTCTCTCTCACTGTCCAGCGCACTTATATACGATAATACTGCCTGTTCTAGAAACTTCTAAGACTCTTAACACGTGCTACCTGCGTCAATTGACTCCCGCTGTCGCAACGCACTAGCGAATCTTCTAGAATATTCGTCACGTGACCCCGCTGTCGTAACACACTAGCAAATCTTCTAGAATACTCGTCACGTGACCCCCACTGTCGTAACATCTCCTTAGCACCCCGTTCCAATCTGACGCTAACCATAATTCAAGCTTTGGGTTTGTATTCTGAAGGTGGATATTTTAAAGTACATTATCTAATATATACATATAAATATTTTAGTATTTATACTTAATCAGTGAGCTGGTCAAGGTTCTGTTGCCTAGATGTCAGGGGAGTGCTTTCGAGATGTGCCAGGAGCATAGTTTGCAAATGCTATCCTCCTGATTGTAAATGATTCCCTCTCATGACAGCAGTATTTGTTTACAGGAGACAAAAGCTGACGATATGCGGCGCTTTTCTTAAATTAACAAAGGTACTAAGTTATGTAATGTGTGAGTGGCTCTTTTACAACAGTGCATTGCATATAATACATAATAAACCCACTTGGCTACCAATTTACTGGCCAATAACCGCATTGATTTAATTCGTAGTCGAAAGTTAGGCTATGCACTGTACTAATACGTTATGGCCCCTATAGCTTGTCACACACGACCTATATTCCAACAAGCTATTGTTACGTCTCTGTTCGTTTGTTAATTTCCGGTATAAATTCTTCCCGAGGAACTTCAGCAATACAAGTCCTTTCTTAAATAAAACTAGTTTATTCTTTCTCAATACAACTTTGCAATACACTTAATTTCCACTGTCATATTAACTTCAACACGCGCTAGAATTCACAACGATTCACGCACTTTACTTACGGCTTGACTCGATTATCTGTCTCTGTCTGCAATTATTCTCTCTCTCGTCACTTCTTGCCGGTCATATATATATATATATATATATACAAGATAGAGGGCGTCTGGCAAACACTCGGGCCTTCACGAACGTTCTAGATACTCATTACGTGTTACCAGAGTAACGTGAATTCTGCTGTCGTAACAGTATGTTATTACCATGCCCACATGGAATCTGCGGGAATTTCCCCAAATTCCGCGTAAATGTGCGTTTTATGTAAAATGTTACGTTATTTTATGAATAACAACTACATAAAACATACTTGAATGTATACATTTGTTGCTTATTAACCTCTGTAACAAAAATGAGAATTTATCCATAAGATCGAAATTTTAAGATGTAATATACTTACTAAAATTTAACAAGATAATGCATTTCTTATAACTAGCACATATCAGTCTTTCGTTTAAGTAGGCCATTATACGTTTTAAAAAACAAATATGGAAAATTTACTTGCCATGTGAAAGACTGATGAAGAATATGTTATTTCTGCAAAAATAATCAAATTTCACTTAAAATATAAATGATAATAGAAAATCACTCAACTTTCTGCATACACGCTTGGTTATTTTGACTAACCCTGTAACCACGAAACAATACATACTATACCTCTGAATTTACTAAGTGTATCTTTACGAAATTTGACAAATATTACAAGCCTGTCGCACACAAAAATCAAATTGTCTAATAAAGTATTTTACTAAAGATGTATCTGAATTTACGATGTCTTTACTGAGTCAGTCTGAGTACAAGGTAATTTTCATGTTAATAAAAAATATTGTTTCATTTTACACTATTCATATTTTATAACTTCTACATCCTCCTAAATGATTATCAAAAGTTTTATTTTTTCATTAATAC